GAGACATTATATCGCCAGAACTGTTTACTGCCGTACTGAAGACCAGCAAGCAGTAGCATTTGCGGTAAACTCCTATTAAACCTTCCTCTTGCTAACCATATTGTCATCTTTTGCAAAACTATCACTGAAGCAGAGATTACGCTCAGAAAGTTTTAAAAAAACACAGAAAAAAGAATTTGGTTACGTGTAAACCGGAAGTAAACCCAGTTCATAAGAAACCCAAAATGCGCAAGTGAATAGATAAGATTGGATCCTTAATTACACTAAATTGTCCTTCGGCATTTGACGAACATGGAGGGTAATATGATGCACGAATTAAACAGCAGCACAGGCCGCATATACGCACCTTAAAAGAAGCCACCAAACAACTAACAGACCCAAAATACCGCGCACACCTTCTCGATTCGACAGTCTTCTGTTACGCAACAAAAACACAGGTGGGTACTTCATCCGGAAAATTCCGTACTTCATCCATAAAAGACTGGAACGATATCTTGCGAAATATAACCGACAATGTCTAGCCAAAATGAGCGCTTTAGTCCTTCAGATCCACCCTCATCGTTAACATTCACCAGAACACACATCGATAGCAAAACATATGGTTGGCTTGTAATAGGGTTAGGCTGGTTATAGAAAGTGAAGTGAAAGAAAAAAGACTTTCGAGCGGATAAAGACATCTAGGGAGAATGTTAGGGCCCACATTATCCATGAAGACGGACCATACAAGTATACATGTAAGTTCATGAGCAATATTAGAGATTCTCATTACGACTGAGACAATCAGTTAAGAACAGTGGTGAAAACTTGGAACTATTTTAGGGAGGAATACACATTAGGGTGGCCATTAAGATGGGAAGTGTTTGAATGCCATTATTTAAGAAACAGAGTCAAAGTTTTGACAGAATTACAAAACCGAAGTGTATGTAAATGGGAAAAACTAGAAAACTGGAAATACTTGAATCGGTGGTAACGAAGCCAATAGACGATATGTTGAATGAACGAGAATAATTAGCTTACAGGCCGTCTTTTGATTCAGATTTTTCCACAGCAAGACATATAATCAGAACATCTAGAGGGGATAGCTGAGGACTTAGATGTATAATGGTAAAGAGACACCATTAATCCATGCATGATATACGAAATCACCATCCGAGCTATTTCGTCAGCATTGTAGGTGCTGTGGGTGCATAAAATTGTTTGTGGACATAAGGAACCAGATGCATTCTCTGCTAGTCAGGAAACCTATCAGGTGATGCATTTTTCCTTCCTTATAATTTAGGCATACACGGCTACTCTACCACTTCTTCACTTAGATGTATTCGGTCGGTAGACGCACAAGATCTATGACGACAACGTATAAGAAATTGTGATGAATGAATGAATGAATGAATGTTTGCTCAACAAGAACAGTGAGAACTATGTGATGATGAATGAAGTCAAATCTCCAATGCACTTGAGTTTTTACTAAATTTTCTACACAATTTAGTTGACACGATGTTGGTATAAAATTTTAACTCGGTTAACGCTTCGGCGCCTCTTTTCAGAGCCGTATTGATCCCATTCGATGGTTCACAACTGGTAGTTGCCGCGATGTGGGTGTCCGTTGTCCATCGAGTCGAATTCAGTGGAAAGAGCACCGCTCGAATATCTTCACATAGTGGTGCCCTTTTATATAGCACAGGTCTTAGTGAACTCCAGCATTCGAGCAGCGCTCCCTTCACTAAAACCGACCTGATGTGAGAACAAACAGCCAGATCGCGACGACCAGCTCTGGACTCGGATCCACGCGGCCCTGAGGAAGGCGAAGGTAATGAAATGATAGCCGAATGAAACTTTTACACGAAACTCGTGTCAGCTTAATCATTAAAAAAATATTAAACATTGTTCTTTCCACTTCTGCTCAGCAAACATTAAACATTGTTACTGAGGTTAACAACATTAAACATTGTTACTGAGGTTTAACGAAAATCGGTTTTTAAGACGTTGTTCTCCAAAACCGTTAGGGTTTTTACTCCGCATACAAGTAATTATGTTTATGTTAAAAGATAGGAGATGCTGTATTTGCTGTTAAATGAAAGTAGCAAAATATCACGACTCTATGTCTGCATCCAAACGTGTTCTAGGCTTTTCTTTGGCTGAAAGGAAACGGTTAACCCACTCGATCTCTATCTGATTTAGTAGTAAAGGGAGGCATCGCATGCACATCAGCCTTATGTGCATTCAATTCCGTCATTGTGCTCGTTACTTGGCCGCACCATTTGCATACATATCTGCAACAGGCACAATTTTTTCACAGCACATCGAAGGTAATTAAATGGGATAATTTTGAATATAAGTAATTTTATCAAAATCATTTCATCCAAAAAAGGAAAATTTTAATTTCACTTTTATGAGATAAAAAATTATCAAAATATGATTTATCGAATCCAGTACAACTCATTGGATCAAAGATTTTACACATCTCAAAGAAAACGAAAACCAAGTAGTAAAAATATAGTACTAAACTACTTCCCTCTCCTCTCATCCTTCACACATGAAAAAAGCACACATTAAAAACATGTGCCGAACGGCTAAAAATTTGTGCACCACAGGAGAAGAGGAAAGGTAGGAATCGCTAAATATGGCACGAAAAATAGCCACTTCCAATGGCTACGGAGCAGAATGCGCTCGGGTCAGACCATCCCTTTCAAGTTACCTTTCGTGTAAAACGAAATAAGTTAAACCATTAAGAGGGTGCCCAAAAAAAATGGTCTTGAAAATTTAGAGGCAGTTATTGGTTTCCCGCCCAATATCCTACGCCGTCAATTAGTCCGTAATTGGCTTTATTATCGTTTGTGCAGCTCAGAACAATTGTGTAATCCATTCTAGATGCCTCAGACTAGACTAGAATTAAGCACACAGCCTCAGCTTAACTGGGTTCAATGCTGATTTGTGCTTCCCAAATCGTATCTATTGGCGGATGACTGCTAATGGGACAGTTAGTGTAAAAGACAGGACGAGTAAAAGACAAAGCAAGGGCCTCAATGATGCAGTGTGTAACACGCGAACCCCCAGAGAGAGGAATCGCCGCTTCGAATAGGCCTGAGGTCCATGTTTTGCAAATATTTGAGCATCATTCTAACTGTAAACCAATTTATACGGCAAGAAATTAGGTGTCTCTGATTAACTCCTGGAAAGACATCACTACAACCTCGGAACAGGCAGAAAGTCCCGGAAGAAATCAGAGACGGTACTTGACAAAGTGGCAGTGACGGCGAGAAACATCGGAAACGATGCTACAAGTAAAATTCCTTGGCAGATTCCAAGCACAACGGAGGTGTAAAAAATAGGACTAAAGTGGATACAAATGACGATGCTGCGGACAACAAAAAAAACCAACAGGGTGATGGAACGTCCTTTTCTGAACGCTGACTTCGACGGACCTTTCTTCCAATAGCGTGAAAATGGAAAAGACTGTCAAAATCTGACATCAACAACGGGAATTAGTACGATATTAATGGATGCAGATAACAAATCACTGGGTTATATGTACTTCAATTCACATAAACTGCACTATTATTCACAAAACTGTAATTTCTACAAGTTTAGCAGAAACAAATGACTGTACCCGCACAATAGTTTGCCGTCTATACGCGGTATTTACGTCGAAATGTGATATACAGCAGTGTTCACTCCTCAAGAAGGTCCACTTGAGCTAAGAAACCGTCACACATTTTCATTCAGACATCAAGCTAAAAGCGCTAACAGTTCGCTGCTTCACGGTAGCTGGGAACGTTTCTTAGTTTTTAACTGTGATGTCCAGCTAAGACGTCACCATAAGATCAGGAATTACACATTATCCACCGGAAGTCTATTTAGGTATAAATTAGCCCTTGAAATCATTTCCACTCCAGTAACGTAGTTATTAGCTGGTAAATTGTGACGAGTTGGAAGGCTCCTGCATGTTCTTCAAAACTACGGAGAAAAAATTCCCAATTAGCAAGTGAAATAAGGAAGAATGCACAAGTCCGTACGACTCATCGTCATACGTAGAAACGAACCACTTGAGCATCCAAGCAACCACCGTTTAGCAAACATTTTGCAACAATTAACGCAATTTAGTATACATCCAGTAAATAGGTTAAAGGATTGCAAATTTCCCACCGATCCATGAAGATTAGCGAGAGACTGTCGCGACGATCTCGGAATATTTGACACAAGTTTTCCATGTTCCCTACGATTCCAGCAAATTTTACAAAATTAGCAATACACCCATGAAACATAGACTACGCCGGGGCCACAATGATTCTTAATGGTAAGCACCCAATTATCAGCTTAAGTCCCTCACACCGCTCTTACGTCGATTCATTGAAGCTAAAAATATGTTCATAGCAGCACTTTTACTGATAGTTGGTCGGATGAACATTTCAATAAACAAACATTTAACTGCTATACCTTCTACTAAAGACCAGCATAGCAGTGGGAGCGACGCCCTTCAGTACTGACCAGACCCTAGTTCGAACCCCCATCGGGACACCTACCTACCATCCGCCCTGAGTTAGGGAACCAGCACCTCTTGCCTGGCACCAGCTAGTTCCCTCCTATCCAAAAAAAAGCTGACAACTGTCTGTGACGAAGAGGCGACGCCATAGTATGGCTACTCCAGGATATCAAGGAAAACCGACTTGACCAATATTCATTGACATTCACAAAAAGACCAAAATCCTCAAGCAGCAACCGAAATCACACGCAAAATATGAAGAGCTCGCGGATGATGGGTCCGAGAAAACGACTCCAAGGCAAGAGGTGTTGAGATCCGCAAAAATGTGATGTAGTACAAAGCTTTCATGAATACTTAATTGTTCAATGTTATATTAGAAAAATTGCCTACAACAGGAAGTTCATCACCTTCGCTTGTTTAATGAATCGCTCCTTCATTTAACAAAGTTTGCGGCAAGAAAAAAAACAGTACACTAACAAACTTGTATAAATAGTTCCCTGAGAAGCATATTGCTGAAGACTTACTTTCGCTTCCTAATGTGCATTTGTTCATTATGTACAAGGAGGCCGCTCTCATCTCCAAACACCATGTTGCATTCGCGACAAATCAGTCGTCCTACTTCCTTCGAAAAAAAAGTTATATACGCATATAAAAATGTATATATAGCAGAAATTGTGAAACAGATGCAATTTAACAAAGCAGTAACACAGTAAGAAATATTACGTAGGAACAGTTTTTTTCAAGAATGAACTTTCCACCCAGTACATCTTTCTTTTCACTTTTGCAACGATAAATCCGTAATTCGTTGACTTATGTACATATGCATATACATTTACAAATATATGAATATATATACATATGAATTACATGGATACTTGGATGGCCATCCTCGCTGATTGTGTGGGTCCCAGCATAATCTCCATTTTTCGGAGTTTTGTTGCTGTAGCCATTGTGGTTCCCCGGAGTCCCGAGGTCAGCTCGGCAAAAGTCTGCCCCAGACCGTCACCACCACGGACGACGCCCTTGTGGATCGGAGGGAGATTTGTCGCCATGCGACTAGTTTCGTACCAGGACGGTGGTGGATCCTCGTTTTAGTTAACTCCTAACTAGGATTCCTGATGGAAACGCTGGACTCCTTCTCAGCTTGGGAGGCCCTACTGGGTGATGATCCCCCTCTGTACATCGCAGTCCGACACCTAGGAATCCCTCCCAGCTACGATGAGGCAGTAAACGTTAGGAGAATATATGCGTTACCTAGTACAGTTCAAATCTCTCTCGTTTTTCAGAGAGTACAGTAGAAATGACGAAATCAAAACCTACCTCAGGACCGTATCGTGCAAGGAGTTTCATTTTAAGGTCATCATTTTTTTTATGAGCTCGCAAATGACTCTCCATCGCAGCTGGACTATTGGCATCGACTAGTATTCCGCATTGACTGCAAGCCTTGAAACGACGTTCTCCATCTGCTTCACTTGAATTACAATTCGTAGTTGAAGTGCTTTCTGGTGAGCCCATGCAACCTTTAAAGAACGCATATGATGTAATATGCGAGCAAGAAAAGCTATTATTTGAACCTTCAGATATCTTTCAAATGATATTCCTGGAAAAAAATTTGACGAATGATAGCAAAACCAAGGCAAATGCTTACTTTCTATTCCAAAAATTGCTTTTACAACAAATAATGCATGATATTATACAGAAGTACTCCCATTAAACCATTAAAATGAATCGATGATAAATAATTTAAACGAAATATAAAACCACTAGCTGATTCAAATAAACAAGTCTTACCTGGAAATTGACCAAGGGTTCCGTTGGCAACTTGCTCTATGGCATGCCTGGCAATAGATTCCTGCCTCAAACGGGTGGCATAGACACGGTCTCTTCGTCTCGCTATTTCTTCCTCTCGCCTACGCCATTCTTCACCAATCACATCGATGTGCTCCAGAATCTTCAAAGAGCATAATGAAGCAATTGATATAATTTTCACGAATTTAAAAGCGCAGTCTTTCCTATCAAGATCCAATACTAACATTTAGAAGTTCCGGTAACACATGGAACTATTCCTACCCACATGAGGACCTTCCAGCATCAACTGGTATCAAGTCATCATTTCTTCCTGTCGTTTATCTTGGCTTACAGAGATTTTATGTATTTTTTGTATTAAACCAGAAATTTACTCAACGCGAACCGATATACCAGACGTCGGAACAGAAAATCTACACTCTACAATTACTAAGAAACAATGTTAAGGGCAACTTTGTCAAGCCACACAGAACTGTTAGCGAGGATGAAACAAAGAAAATGGATATACCACGGATGAGGAACCCACATAAATATATCTACGTCTCACTGCAGTCAATTGCCTTGTGTGCCTTTTGAACTTGGAGCGGATAGCAGAGTGGTAGTGATGGCGATCACCACAGGCATGGAGTCGCCTCGATCCCAACCCAGGCTCGCTGAGCCTCTCACCCCTCTGGGTTCTGGAAATTGCTACCGGACTTGCTCGAGAAAAGATCACTCTACAATCCATAAAAAAGCACAATACAATACAACGCTAGCTGACGTTTCGAAATAATCAGCTGTTCTAAACTTCCTCATTGGAAGTCACGAAAAAAGCGGCTCTGAAGAAGGCGATACTGCCGAAACGTCAGCTAGCGTTGTATTGTATTGCTTTTTTATGGAAATAAATGCATGCTGTTCAAAAACCTCGCGATTGTTGAACAAGAAAACGACACATTCATATACCAATGCCGAGGTTAATAGAAAGTCGATCCTGGCAACTCTACAATCCAACTGGAAACGCTCCAGCCCAACTATCACAGGATTCCAGGGATAATTGACCCGACCAGTATTCTGCGACATTCAAGATAAAATAAAAGCTCTCAAACCGCAACCGAAGCCACAAGCAAAAGCTGGAAGACCTTCATGGATGACGGTTGCGAGGAAACGAACCGAATGTGAGAAGTGCTAGGACCCGCACAGTAGACGTGAAGACGGGTCGCGTAAGAAAAAACCGTTTTGAACCTGGCAGCAAAGATTGTTCCTAATGAGGAAGATATATTTGACTCATCCGTTAAAGGTATAGCGCTCGGCATATGTTGATTCAAATTCAAAACCCATATGACAGAAACTTGGCCATCGGTCTAATGCAGCAGCCAATAATTACATCGAAACTCTGTCATTACAATTACCTTAGAGTATTACTGCACCGATCCATAACACTCTTTTTAGTCCACGCACAAGCCGTAACAGAAAGCGCAACGCCCGGCGAGAAATGTATATACACATGCATATTTATATATGTATATATATACGTATATATATACGCTTATATATTGCATGTACACATACATAAATATATACATATATAAACACATTTACACGTCTTCACATCTACTGCGGCATCCCAGCATTTCTTACACTGAATTGGTTTTCTCGCATCCATCATCCAAGAATGTCTTCGAACTCTTCGCGTCTGGGATCAGATGCTGCTTAAGGAATGTAGTTTTCCTCCATATGAATGTCGTTGAATGCTGGTTGAGTCGATTCTCCTAGGAGTGCTGAGACAACCAGGCTAAAACGTTTGTTGGATTGCAGGGAGTGAACTGCTCCAAGACGCTTTGAGCGCCTTTAAACTAGTAGCGCGCTCTTGGAGATCGGGATGACTACCACTACGCTGCCAACCCCTTCCAATGATTTACAGCCTCATCGTTGCTGGGAGGTGTTCCTGAGTGGTCGGGTTGTGATGTGCAACGTGGGATTCATCCACCGGCAGGGTCTCCCAAGCTGAGAAGGAGTTCGGCGTTTCCATCACGAAACCCAGCTAAGAGTAAACCAATACCAAGATCCACCACCATCCTGGCATCAAACTAGTCGCATGGTGGCAAATCTCTCTCTGATCCACAAGGGCGACGACTACGTGTGATGGTGACAACCTCCGGCAGAGTTTGGCCAGGCTGACCTCGGGACTTCAGGGCAACATAATAGCTAGACCATCAAAACTCCGAAAAGTGGAGAATACGCCGGGGACCGCACAATCAGTGAGGACGGTCCCCTGCCCAAGTATCTAAGTAAGTGTACACATTTATACGTGTATCATATACATTATATGCACATATGCACGTATATACACATGAATGCATACATGTATGTGTACGTGTACATATGTACACGTATGCGTATATGCGCATGTATATATGTATGTATATACATGTATATACGATTTAGATACGCCTCACAACTCTAACTACATCCCCGTCACTTCACGGCATGATATTCGCAGACTAAATGTACAAAAAATCGCACAACATAGACTTAAACACGTCTATACATATATGCCAACAAACCGATTTGAGACTATTCACATAAAAGACCTCCCTGAAGATGGCGTAAGATAGGAGAAATCGAAAACAATGAGAATGTTGTTGCACAACCTCTTGAAGGTGTTCCGGATGTTTTTCTGTAGAATGTCGTTCCAATCCAAATGAAGTCAAAAACACTCTTTCAGGACATAGCGGACAGGGATACGATTCCACTTCGTCTGCTACACCTGCACAAAATCCATATATAATATGAAGCATAATACCCAAAACAGTTTTTGCAGGAAATTTTTAACTACAAATGTATCTGTAGTTCTCTAGAGTCACAAATTAAATGACCTGGTAACGTAGTTGGCACGTAAGGCGCATACTCTTCACTGTTCTCAGTTGCACTTTCAATAATAATCTTCCTTGAACGCGAATTTGAATGCACCAAAGAATTCGGTACCTAAATACGGTATAATACATTATTTACTGGATAGAGATGATAGCAAAAGACAAAAGAATAAAGCTCTCGGCGCTGATCAATCCTTGAGGAATGCACTATGTATTCGACTTTACTCAGCACCGTTAGAATTCAGTGAATGGAAATTTGGCCTATACTACGGCTCACAATGGCTTATCGATGTGTAGAGTCAGTGCTTCTGTTCTTCAAAACAGATCTGGTACCAATTTGCCGACCATTTACAAGCATATTCGATCCACGATTGAGTCATATCGTGGCAAATGTGCCAACTACTTTTGCTACAGAAATCTTCTGCACCTACCTGCACACCCGTTTCGTCAACAAAACTTCCATTAGGTTGTTGAAGGCCAACTACCATACCATCCCTTACTAGTAGTTGCTCATGGTCGTCATCTAACTCACTCTCTCTTATAGACATGTCTTCCACCGCTTTATCACGATCAATTTTACCACCTGAAAAGTTCACCTGGAACAGCCTTCTAGTAGCTTAAATCACACCAGACAAAAATAAACCCTCCACAAACCCTTTGTAGCTGACGTTATTTTGGAAGCCCTGCCTGACTTTGACATGATTCTGGGTACCCTTCGCAAAGGCCGTGACATTCTTTCTAAAATTTCAAGGAAAGAATGAACTACTTCGAATCCAGCCTTTTAAGAAGACGGTTGCGATCAGTCTAGAAAAAGATAAGCAATCCACATCTCTTGGAAGCTTAAATGATGACAGAAGTTAAAAACTAACTCAATGTAAAGAAAAAAGAAACAGTAAACACCGTTAAAGATATGCTTGAAAAACTTAACATTTCTTCAGAATATCCGAAAAAGGAACACATTTTATCATCACAAATTAACAACGAAACAGTGAAACTATTGTTATAATACGAAGACTAAGCAACAAAGCCCGAAACAAAACCACCAGCCTTCCGTCGAACATTGGAGCGCGCAAAAATACCGATAAGGTTAAAACACGAACTCTCTCACGACCGTAGTATAAACATTACCTTTCGAAGTCCTCTCTACTGTTGTGATACAATTTAGCAAAAAAACCATAAACACTCTAAAAGTGAGATGCGTTGAGAGAACAAAGAGTAAAATGTCACCAATTCCTGGCAAAAACCGAAAGTTTTTCAAGTTTCGGCTTTAGTATCGCGATCAAGGAAACGTGGTAACTTCTTCCGGTAGATATCAATTGGACGTTCGAATCCTAAACCGATACTTGAACTAAGTTTTAACACAAAAGATCGACTTTCTATAAACGTCAGCATAGATAGTTGATATATTTATCTATACGATCTTATAAACTGATCTTCTTAAGATGGTGAGTGGTTGGTATAGGTCTTCGCTGTCGTTGTCGTTGTCGTTGTTGTAGTCGTTGCTGTTGATGTTGTTGACCGATGGCTGACGTTTCGGCGATTTCGCCTTCCTCAGAGCAGGGCTGTTAAGAGTGGGACTCTGTCCACTGTCCGAGTCCATTACCTGAGTCCACTGTCCGAGTACCAGTGTTCGAGCCCACTGTCCGAGTCCCACTCGTAACAGCACGGTTCTGAGGAAGGCAAAATCGGTGAAACGTCAGCCATCGACCAACAACATCAATAGCAACAACAACAACAACAACAACGATAAAGAAAACCTATAGCAACCTCGCACCAGCTTAAGAAGATCAGTTTATAAGATCATATAAATAAGTTGTAACAGCCAAAGATCCAGAACACGTAGAATAGCAAACTTCATAGAAATGGACAATAAAGGCTTTAAAAGTTTTTCTGGATAAAGCACTCGGCGCTGATCTGCCCTGAGCGATACACCATGCAATCGACTTCATTAGGCGTCGTTAGAGGTGATTGAATGCATATCTGGCCTTTACAATAACTCGCGGTGACCTACCCATATATCGAACAAGTGCTGTTATCTTCCCGTATGGTACCAATTTGTAGACCCTGCATTGGATAGAGGGCTTGGTGAGTTTGGGGCACCGGGATCGATCCCATGAGTATTGCAATGCGCCCCGACCACTGCGCTACAGGCACGAACGGACCATATGTCTTTCTGATTTATAATATTGTTATTTTACCTTTGGTCTTCGCACACGGTGCACCAAGATGTTCTACGCTTTCAAAACCGACTTCTTCAAGAAGGTACATTTCAAAATCTTCTGGCTTGAACTCTATGGCCAAATAGTTAGCTTTTAACTTCTCCTGTAATGTAAATTCACTAAAAGCGAACCATACGTACTACAACGCAGAGAAACTAACTGTCATTTTTGATCTTTTCTTGTAACTGGTAAAAGGCTGCGGTTCAACGATGAATCTCCCGCCAGAGAGTAACTGTTTAAAGGCACGACGGAAGAATCGACGTAAGCCATCATCACCATAATTCAAATGTATCCATTTCGTAATGCTTAAGGCTAAAATGACGTCGAACTCTTCCTCTACCTAAAAACAGACTACTAAAAACCAATGATTCTTTTTTTGTTAATCAGAAAACCAAATACGCCTCCTTGTTACTCTGAAACGAACCGTTTCCAGTAACTCATCGCTGTCCAAAACATAGTTTTCCCTTCTGAACCAAACGTTGTCAGGAAATTTCGTAGAAAAAGATAATGCATGATTCGAAACGGGACCAAAATTTGTGCAGAATGAAGCAGGAAACTTTCCTACGAACTAAACAAAAATCCTCTATGTACAGCATTTAAATTGCGAAATAAAAAACAAAGATTGATAACAGGGCTAAGAGAAACACGAAACGAAGAACTCGCATGGAGTGGTGATGAACGTGCTAGCCCCCGGAAAGGGTAATAGCGTGCTCGATCCCCTCTGCAGACACCTGTGTTTTGCAGTTAGTTCAGCATTATTGTGGTTACATTTCACATAAAACCCTGCCATTGAAAAAGAAGAGGCAGTGAATAAAAAGTGACGACATTCTGAAAAGCAAAGATTCAAACGAAACAACTTCACCTGTGTGTCTTGATCACAGTAATGTCGGATGTTCTTACGAGCAACACCAACTAGATGTTCGTCGATATCTATACCCAGAATTCGACGAGGTGCAAAATCACGGGCAATTGACAAAGTCAGGAAACCAACATTACATCCTGGAAAAGAGCAGATGTGTTTCTTTAGCGTGCAATACAAAACTAATGTACCGATGTCTAAGACACTCTTCTTTTCGAACCATTCCTTCCTCATCACCGACAACCGAATATCGCTTTTTCCGGGTTCTAAACGTACACCATAATAACGGTCGAAATTCCCATAACAGTACCTATAAGAACTTCACATCATCTGAAATTCATCTTAAACATTATACTTGAAATACACGCGTAAGAAGACGAACTTTAAATGATTGCAAAGACAAGCAACGCTTTAAAGTCATGAAAAACCACACTAAAACGCTGTTTTCAATCGAAACAGTGCTTTGGGTGTTAGAGGATAAGGATAAAGCTTTCGGCTTGATCTATCCCTGAGGGATGTGCCATGCATTTGACTTCACTAAGCATCGGTGGAGGTGACCAAATGCATACCTGGCCTGTGCAATGACACGCGATGGCCGACCGATGCATCGAGCCAGTGCCGCTATACTCCCAGACAAGTCAGGTACCAAACTGCCGACCCCGGAGTGATGGAGTGCTTGGTGGACTTTGGGCACGGGTTAAGGTGTTAAAAAACGGTTAAATGAGTCTCTACTAAACTATATCGAAGAACTACATAACTACGCAAGTACGCACTGGCTGGAGGTGCTCTGCAATATACATGGGACCGACCCCACCTCCCGTGGCTCACCAAGCCCTCCATCTCTCCGGGTCCGGCAAATTGGTACAGATTTCTCCGGGAGAATAGCAGCACTGGCTCGATACATCGGTAGGCCACCGCGAGTCGCTGTAAAGGACAGGTATGCATTCAATCACCTTCAACGATGCTTAATGAAGTCGAATGCATGGTGTCTCCCACAGAGACTGATCAACGCAGAGTTTTATGGTTTTATATTCAACCGCAAGAAACCATACAAGCCTCTTAATTAACTATCTATTTTCTCTATAAGCATACATGAGATTTCTACTATGTACTATTCGACCACAACTGCTAATGTTTCAGCGAATTAAGCATTTTTCAGACCTTAGAAAGGTCAAGTTAACTGCAAACTAGTCAGCAAACACTTTCGTAACTCCAACAAGAAAATAATGGCCTAGAGAATTACTGCTCTTAATGAAATTAAAAACTCCTTCTAGAAACATAACCCTACTTATTATTGAAATGTTCCTGTCGAGCCTTTTTCCGTTCAGTTGGACTTGGCTTCTTTCGATCACTTGACTCTTCAACACTTGCGTTCGCACCAGATTCAAGACTACTTGCTGAAGATGACTCCCTTGTGTCCCTTTTTGGACTTCCATGATATCGAGCTCGCTTCTTAACAGTTTTATATACCAATATATAAAATATATTGGTAAAACACGAAAGTAGACCACATTTATGGTAATTTAAACTTGAAAGTAGCACATCCCTACAAAAACCTAACCCTACAGCGAACCTGGCTGCGCTGTACGGGAGATACGATTTCGTCCCCTGTCTGGATATCTTCTTCGTGTTTCCTTCTGGAATACTGCATTTACCTTTCAAAAATGCACAGGAAGGAACTAACCGGTAATGATGAAAAAGGATCACACTTCTTTCGTTGTTTCTCAATGTCATTTAAATTGAGGGGGTCCTTGATATTCTTCGGAATAAGTACCTAAAACCACGATTCTAGCTGAAAACCACCAAATCTAACCTTGACAAACGCAAAGCAAAGTTCAAGGACTTACTTCTAATGGTTCGGACCCAGCTAATTCCAATTCCTTCGTGGAAAACGCTTCGTCACCGGAAATTACCGCATTCAGATTGAGTGGATCCTCTTTTGTACCTCCCGTGGGATACGTGAACTCACCACCAAAACGTCGTCGCCCACTACGAAACATATCTGAAAGGAATATGTTGGGGAAGACTCCAAGGATTAAATCATAAAACGACAACGTTGACTTCTTAAAAGGTGGAGAAAAGAAAGAAAAGGTAAAAGATTACGTTTCTTCGAACGACTAATGAAATTTCCTGTCTTCCCAGAACGGGTTCCTCCTTTTATCTGTTTGCTATCTTCATTTGGCATGACTTAAGCCTGAAAAAACCAAGTTCGAAGCCTGATATAATGCGTAGAACAATGCAGTGCAATAGTACTGCAAGAAATGATACGGCAGGAAAGTCAAATTATACAAGATTCAGTCCCAATAGAAATTCCACCCAACGGTTTACCGCCTCATTATGGCTAGGAGGTGTTCCTGGGTGTCGAGCTGCGATGTACACCCCTCCAGCAGGGTCTCCCGACCTAAGAAAGAGTCCGACGTTTCCACCAGGAAGCCGGGCTATGAGTAAACCAATACCACGATCCACCACCGTCCTGTTATCAAACTAGTCGCCTAATGGCAAATCTCCTTCTCATCCACAAGGGTGGGCAACTGCCTTTGATGGTGACGACCTGAAGCAGACTTTGGTCAGGCTGACCTCGGGACTCCAGGGAGCCACAATGGCTAAACCAGTAAATCTCAGGAGAACGAGAACTGTGCTGGGCTCGCACAACCAGTGAAGACGGTCCATCCTGGCATCTAAGTAAGTATACAAAACTGAAATTAAGGGAAGCTTAGACTGATAAATTAACGATGCATAAGAGCCATTCTATGTCACAGGTGACAATAGTGACGATGAAACTTCTTCGTAGTTAATGGCTCTCAAAGTTTCGAACGACCATTGTAAAAATTATCGCCAAGACAACGGTGGGATTAATTTCTCAAAAACATACATAACTAAAGAAGAAAGGAAAACAACCAGGAAACAATCGTACTGACGTAGGAACCACGCGCTCCACGCCGCGCAAACGGGGCATTTCCGCCGCGCGCGGCATCGGGACGGCGAAGGGCCGCGCCACTGGCGGGGTCCGACGTCTCGCCGGAGCCAATCGAAGACAGTTGAAGCTGACTGAGTCAGGATGAGAGCCTTTTTTTATGAACGAGAAAACTGGAGCCACATAGAGTTCTTAACAGTAATACTTTCAGTGGGAAATGTTTGAATATAGGGGCAATAGCTCTTACAGCCTAGTGGGAGCAATGTGAGGTCTGAGTTCCATGGAAATTACTACGAGTATTCATTCCCGCACCGTAGTCTTGTTTTTTAGTCTAGAAAAAGTGAATTTCTGAGTAATTCTTTCTCGCATAAGATTTTCTGGCATCCCTAGGATCCACGAAAACCACGAATGAAAATTCCGACTTCATCAGGATGACAAGATGTTGCCTACACGAGCTCAGTGCAGAGGTTATTTCTTTTGCTTCAATTCTGTTTTTTACTAACGTTACAAAGAATTTGAGCTAAACACTAGGTAGGAGGGGAACTTCATCAAAAGTATTTATTATTCCTCCCAACGGTTTACCGCCTCATCGTGGCTGGGTGATGCTCCTGGGTGTTGAGCTACGATGTGCATCGGGTGGATTCATCCCTCCAGCGGGGTCTCCCAAGCTGAGAAGGATTCCGGCGTTTCCATCAGGAAGCCTAACTAAAGTAAACCAGTGCCAGGATCCACTACCGTCGTGTTAAAGTCGCATGCTAGCAAATCTCCTTCTGATCCACAAGTGCGGCGACTGCCTATGGTGAAGACGACCTGGAACAGATTTCGGCTACGATAATCTCGGGACTCCACAATGGCTAAACCAGCAAAATTGCCCGCACAACCAGTGAAGGCGGGCTATCCAAGTATCCAAGCAAGTATTATTTATTATTTGTTATCATTACTATTACTAGTATTTTTTATTTAATGTGGCCCTTTGTCACATCTACTGTGCGGATCCCAGAACTTCTTGTATTCGATTCGTTTTCCTCGCCTTCGTCGTCCACAAACGTTTTCAAACACTTCCTTTGTAGTTTCTGCTGCTGCTTGAAGACTTCGTCGTCTTTATAGATGTCTGGTGGAAATGCTGGCTAAGTGGGTTCTCCTTGCAGTCTTGGAAATAGCCGAGCTAAGGCCTTCCTACGTGTAGTGAGGTAGAGCGCCTTGAGGAGAGGGTCGAACCAGAACCTTACTCCCTGTTGAACTGCATCACTAACCACACCGCTAATCTGCCCTTGAAACGGAGACGAAACACGTGGATTGTAGCATGCGGGCGGTCATATTTATAAGCAGCAAAGCTTCAAAGCCTATTTGTTGTTTGTATCGCAATTTTTCGAATGGCGCGTGTGACGCAGAGGTCGGAGGCGACCTGCAACATACACATGGTATCGATCCCCACGCCCCTGGCCCACCAAGCCCTCCTTCCGGTCGTGCTCGGCAGATTAGTAGCAGACTTGTCTGGGAGGATAACGGCACTGGCACGATACATGCGCGGCCACCGCGAGTCCTTGTAAAAGCCAGATATGCATTCAGTCACCTCCAACGATGCTTAAAGAAGTTGAATGCACGACGCATCTCTCAGGGATTGACCAACGCCGAGGGCTCATCACGATTGTGAATGATCAGACATCCGTTTGGATCTCTGGATTGATATCGTCATACGGTGAAAACGACTATATGATATATGACGGATTATTATTCTGTGAGGGAAAATTTTCCAGTGGTCGGTTATCAGTGTCAGTATCCTTTTTCAAATATGAGACAGGTCTAGCGATTTATTGAGCACTTGCATAACCTAGGAGCGTAAAAAATCAAACATTTTTATCTCTGCTGATAGAATTGAAGTATGGGAAATCCATAAAGAATAAGAATGGGATGAGAGGAAATGTCTGGTAGGTTGCATACGACATCTTGACGGAGCTTCTGGGTGTATATGAAGTGCTGATGTGGTAACACCTTGATCTATCCGACTTTATCCGCGTAGTACTCTAAGTTGTTCAGAGAGGAATCCGCACAGAGACAGTACAAGTAATCCCTGAGCTTCCTTTTAACCAGTGTTAAAGAGTAGAGGATAAGGCTCTCGGCGTTGATCGATTCCTGAGGGATTCGCAATGCATTCGACTTCATTAAGCATCACTGGAGGTGATTGAATGGATTTTTGGCCATGGCCATTTACAATGACTCGCGGTGGCCTATCGATGCATCGACCCACTGCTGCTATCTTCCCGGACAAACATGGTACTAATTTGCCGACCATTGAGAGATGGAAGGTTTGTGCTTGTCTCTGCAATGCTCATCATCTTCAGCCCATCCAATTCTCGATGTCCTGCATGCAGCAGTTTCGATGGCAGGGTATTACATGAAGTACTAATTACAAGGATGTTGAGATATGGGCAAAACTTGAAGCCTTAAAAAATTGCCGAGGCAAGGGCAACGCAGTGGGCCCAGTTGGTGTAGTGGGTAGCGCCCCGTCCCTCAGAAAGGATAACTGCTGGTTCGAAATCCATTCGATGATTCGAGTTTTCCTCATATCTTAGCATCCTTGCGGTAGTATGCAACCCTACATCCCTGAATGTCACAGTACTATGTTTCGTAGCCCTAGAACTTATATTCTATGATTGGTAAGCTAATACGAGCTTGATAAAAAAAAACCTTATTCGGCTAACATTTCGGTGACATCGTCTTTCTCAAATCCAGATTGATCTGAGTCGATGGCCGACAGTTCTTTCTTCTTCCATTGTAGGTATTTGTGATCCTATCGAGTTGAATCGAATCCGGTGGAGCACCGCTCGAATGAAGAGCCAAAGCAGTGCTCTTTCATATAAGACGGCTCTTGTTCATAGCTAATAACTTGTCTTCTCAGAACAACACATCCTGCAGCACTCGGTGCCATTATCAGCTAGCACAGGGAGTAACAATTGTTCAAAAATCGACTTTCCTTTAACCATGGCATGGCTAATCAATATGTGCTTTTCAAAGTAACCGTCATTTAACCTCAGTACTGATAATCAATAGGTTCTTGTATTGTTAAGTTAATACGGGGTTGATAACATTCGGCTAGCGTTTCGACGTCTTCGTCTTCATCATTGCCGATGATCCAAGTCGATGGTCCACAGTCGTTCATCTCCTCCATGTGGTGTCCAATTCGATACGACGACGAAGACAGTGAACCATTGACTCCGATCATCTGCTATGATGAAAACGAAGACGTCGAAACGTTAGGCGAACAAACATCTTTGCCAACCTCGTGTTTGCTTAACAACCCTAAAAGGTGTTAATCAATATGTGTTCCTCTAGCACGTCCTGTATTCATGTATTCTTCTCCTTAGTAACACTTAGAAGTTCTGTTAAGTTCGCGACTCGGACTCCCTCTGTCGTCCTCAAATCGCACGTTCGGGAACAGTGATCGCTTCCCATACTGTTATCATAGCGTTAAACTTCCTGAGTATGTGTTATAGTGTAAGCAAGCCGTGCAACCGAATAGAATGTGCAGTTGTCTATTCTTGTTATTATTCAGTACTTCTCTCACTAGGGGCGCTTGTGGCACAGTGGTCGGAGGCGCTATGGGTTCGATCTTGCGTCCAAGACTGACCAAGGCTTCATCCTCCGGGGTTGCCGAATTAGTACCAGGCTTGTCTGAGAGGATAGCAGCACCGGCTTGATACATCGAAAGGCCACCGCGAGTCATTGTAAAGGTTAGATATGCATTTAGTCACCTCCATCGGTGCTTAGTGAAGTCGAGTGCATGGCGCGTCTTTCAGAGATTGATCAACGCAGAGAGCTTTATTTTCCTTCCCTCGCTTGATCTTCCAAACTTCCCAGGCAGCTTAACGCTAGCAGTGATTACCTCTTCTATTCAAAAGGTGTAACGTACATTGTTTATATATATCAGTTGTGATACTAGGTGGAACGATGAAATGTTATCCCTAACAATTTATTATCCATTAACAGACTTCTAAGCCTTCCTGTATAAAACACTGGTAAAATCCTTCTTTCGTGCCGTCATTGGCTGTCAAAAACTACTGACCACGAAAGTGTTCCTTTGAGGATGGGCAGCATCTGGGCCATAACCGCTTTTCAACGGACAACCGTTAGGAATCCTTCTCGGGAATGTGCGTGTCGTTCTTCCATCGGATTCTCATTGTGCGCTCCAAAGAGAATATGTGGACGCGTTGCAATTGCGGGCATTGCTATGCGCATTTTTTCATTCTCGGTCGATTTTATACGCTGTTAGTAAACAGTGGTGCCAATATTTTCTAGATTTTTTCCCTTTTATGTGCTTTTTTTGTGCTAGTTGTCTGATACAGGCTGATCGTCTTGTGGAAGATGATGGACTTCCGGTCCTCATATTCGTGTGCCTGTGTGACTCTCATGCCACTACTTTTCATTCTTCTTAAAGTCTTTGAGATCGCGTAATCGATTTTTGTATATACTAAGGATTCTGATCGCGTTAGAATTATGTACAGTTAAGGTGCCTGAAATGAGTCACAAGGCACAACCACCGTTGTTCGCGCCAGTTAAGTCACCACCTCCAGCCTATAGTGCTAAATCAAGCACACCCTTAGCAGTTACATTTCGTGAGGTGAGTGTCATCTCAGAGATTTACATTACCTTGCAAAAATTGTCTTCATAACTTGCGACGAGCTTAATGTTGCCCTAAGGATGGCTTGCAGCGGAAGTATGCTTTTAAGAGGAAAATCAGGTTTTAAAATTTATAGACTGGCGGTGGACCATCTGTCGAAGAACAGTGTACCATTGAACATATCAGATCCTTTCTGGGTTCATCGGACTTTGACGAAGATTTATGTTTGAAAGCAATCAGGGTTAGTTCTCTCAACGTAATTTTTTTCATTTGGTATTGATGGACAGATACCTGCTTGGATACATGGATGACCCGTCTTCGCTGGTTGTGCGGGCCTCAGTATAGTTTTTTTTTCGGAGTTTTGCTGGTTTAGCCATTGTTTTTCTTTGGAGTCCCAAAAAGCCAGACCAAAGTCTGCCCCAGGTCGTCACCACCGCAAGCAGTCGTCGCCCTCATGGATCAGAGAGAGATTTCCCACTATGGGACTGGTTCGATACTAGAACGGTGGTTGGTCCTGGTATTCGCTTATTCTTGGCTGATCTTCCTAATGGAAACGTCGGACTCAGCTTGGAAGATCCTGCTGAGGACATAGATCCCTTAGCTTTACATCGCAACACGATACCCAGGAACACCTCCAAGCCACGATGAGACGGTAAAGCGTTGGGAGGTTGACGAACATTTGTGGACAAAAAGTATCTCCTAGAAATGTTCTGTTTAGCTCAGTTGACGCCATTGTTTTCTTTTAAATGGTTGTTTTCAAACTATATTTCGATTGAGTCTTGAATCTTTATTTGCTTCAGAGTGCTTTCACGCATAAACGTGTAGTTGTTCTTTTTTCGAGAAGTTTTGATTGAATTTTTTATGTTGTCGAATTTAGCATCCGAGGTTGCGATCTCAGAGAACGAACAACGAAGAAGAATATTTGCAAGAGGTAGTGGGTGTTTATATGGATGAGTTGAACATTGCAACTAAAAAGGAGGAGCAGCGTTCGCAGACACCACGTCCTGTGAGTTTCCACTGCTTTTCCGTTAGGGTCCTGTTCATTTACTTCTTGTTCTTAGTTGTTTGGTAAGGTGTTATGCCTGTCCACTGGACGATTAGGTTGAGTTGTCACAAGAGGTCGTTTTGTATGACATGATTTCTGTGCGTTTTTGACATTATATACTTTTTGCAGTCATAGGAAAAGCTGGCTTTCATTTCCTGTAGTGCTACTATAAGGTAAGCAGTCCATTAACGAAAATAGAACTACAGCGATACTGAGGTATTCACGAAACTTGGACGGCAGGCCACATCTAACCACGATTACCGTTTCTGACGGCTGGCTTATTGTACATTGTGCCGCTGAAAATAGAACTGTTTTATTTGATTTGGAATCCTGACTTTATTCATAATATTTTCTTGCTATCAGCTTTGAAGTATATTGCTATATTTACGTGTAGCTTATCTTTCTGATAGGTGCGCGTGTAGCGTTCAGAGACGCCCTGCCATACACATGGGATTGAACTGCGTGCCCAGACTCACCAAGCCCTTCACCCTCCAAGCTCGACAAATTGCTAGCAGGCTTGTCTAGGAGGATACCAGCATTATTTTGATACATCGATAGACAATCGCGAGTCATTGTAATGGCCACATATGCATTCAATCACCTTCAACGATGCTTAGTGTAGTTGAATGCATGGCGCATCCTTCAGGAATTGATCAATGCCGAGTGCTTTATACTTTTTTATCCTATCTTTTTGGTTCAAACTGCTTAATACAATACTGCGTTTTGAGTACTCCTGCTCAAGTAAACATAAATTAGTGGTATTATGCATTATTATTGAAGCTAAGCAATACAGGAACTGCCAGTGCGTTTTTTAATGACTGCTGATTAAGGCACAGGGATGTCTTTTCGAGCCAGCACAAACAATCGAAGAAGCGGCGGCAGAAATGCCACAAGGAGGTGCGGGACATTCGGTTCCTGTTTCATCTGCGAGCTCAGCGGCATACACAGCTACGCCAGTGCACGGTGTACCGTCTGCAGCGGAGGAAAGGGAGTTGTGCGATATTGAAAAGTCTGTGTTTACTTATATTGCTCTAAAATGTGTTCAGTTTAATTGCTGTCATATATTCAGAGCCATAGCTGAGTCCTTAATCTCACAAGGACCATCCGGAAATCGCTCCTATGTTTCATCTCTACCATCGAATCCTGAGGAGTTGTTAAGAAAAGAAGGAGTATCGGTACTTATGTTTTTGTCATAGCTCTCTAGCGACCACTTCACAAGACTTGCACTTTTCTTCATGTTCGCTATTTCTTCTGTGAGTTCTTAGGTTGGTCTGCACAACACGGGTAACACGTGCTGGTTCAATGTTGTCGCTCAGCTGCTCTTTCATTTGCCTCGTTTTCGTCGAATTGTGTACGAGCATGGCTCACGAAGCTCACCGTTGGATAAAAAGGAGACCTCACAGGTGAAATTTTCCCGTTGTGGAAAATGAGGCTCCATTTTCAGGCTGGTGTAAAAACTCTTTTTGGTTTCGTCATCAAGACTTTTAGAAATACCTTTTGTGATAATTAGTCATTCCTGACATTGCAGCTGTACACCTTTTTAAAGTCTATTTCTTTCCTAACGTTTGCCGTATAGTACTTTTTAAAACTTCTAATTTACCATAATTTCCAGTTGATTTAGATATCTCCTTTAAATCATGAAAGTCGTGTCATTTTTCTTCATAAGTTGACAATTCTGTATAAAATCATGCTAACTCTAACTATCGTCGATGTGTAGACCAGAAACTCGCTTCTGAAATGCGAACATGATTCGTATAGTCCCATACATACAATATGAGTCTTGACAGGTCGTGGACACCTATTAGTAGTTGGCGATGAGAGTGTAGCTGATTACTGAGGTTGCACCTCCAGAAACTGCTTAGAGGTTGTAGAAAAGTCAACACTGACAGTTGAAGAACAGTAATTCGTCATTTTGAAGAGGCTAGAAAGGTGGAAGGCTCAATAAATCCGCACCTATTGAACGAAGGACAATCGTGGACCGATTACTTCTTGACATATAATGGAAATGCATCCTGTCCGAAAACAGATGAACTTTGAACATGATTGGAATGAGACTGCTTTTTTAATCAGTTTCCAAGACCGGATTTTCGTCAAGAGCTTGTCATGATGCTTTTTAGGGTATTAGTAGAAAGTGGAATCGAGAAGTCATTAAAATTCTGCAAAATAGCAATGTATTTATCCACTTTTAGTTTTTTTTTATGAAGTTTGTTATTCATGAATGACAACACTGTACAGCAAATAACACAGTTCGAGCTGCAAGAGTTGAACTATTTGGACTGCGAAATCTTTCCTCATTCAACGTACTTTTTTTCCTCATCAACTACCACTTTTCTCAAAAAACTCGCCGGTGACTTTTGCCTGGGAATTTCTTCGACGAGGAATCCGCTTCTCAAATGAGTACGAATAATTTGAAGAAAAATTGAAAATTCTAACGGAATTTATCTTTGATAAAGTTGTCTTTAAGCAAAGTTATAGCTGTTGAAGTTGGATTTCAAAACCTGCCATTTGTTTTAAACCGAACAGATAACATTGAGCTGACGTACAATTATTTTTCCATTATTTGCAATGTTGTGAAGTGTTTGTTGACAGGCTTATTGCTTCAGAGATCCGAACTCACGGAGCTTGATCTGGTGGAACAGATGCGTTACCTGTTCGCGTGCATGGATTTGGGCAATAAACGGTACATCGATCCTTCAGAAGCCCTTAAAGTCGTCAGTGCATTGGCAGCTCGCAGCAAGAGTGATGTCATTCTTGGTCGCCAACAGGTGTGAAGAACTGGCATTTAAATTTTAGGTGTTTAAAGTTTTTGCCATGTTTTTTCTTGCTTTCCGTTCATTGTCATCTCAATCAAGGTTGTTCGATTCGAGCTCTAAAATTCTCTAAATTAAGAAAGCAGTTGCGACAGTTGATATTTAAGGATGCTTCGGAGATGATGTCTAATTTAATGGAGTGGATGGAGAAAGGACTGGCTGCTGTTTCTGCATCGGAAACTATTGTTGAGGATGTCCAACCTAAGGTATTACTGGATTCTTTTTGTCCTTACGTACGTATGATGTAGCTTTTGAAGTCTTTGATTTAAAGGTGATTCTAGGAACGTTGTTCATCGTTTGAAACTAGTCATACCTCAGAGGCCGTAGAAATTCCCTCACTTTCCCCTGTTGAAACAAGTTCTGTCAGTATGGATACCGAGTCAAGCCCTCAAACTATCCAAGATATCAGTTTGTTTTTTTTTGTCTAAATTGCTTTGCAAGCTCCTTATCATAAGATGAGAACTGGTTGATGAAGCAGTTCTTTTAGATAAAAATGACCAGCCGTCGAATGATAGTCTTCGTAGTTCACATCTTGATTGGATTCATGCACTATTCCATGGGTTTCAAGTGGAACGAGCGCGAAATGGTAGTTCTTCTTCCTTGGTTGCGATTTTTTTAAGCTGTTTTTTTTCGTACACTTTACAATCTTTTCCCGTTTCTCTGGTTTTCTTCTTTCGTTCGTTATTTCTCTACTTTTCCGTTCCTCTACATATTGTGTTGTTTTCATATTTGTATTAAATTTTCTTATTGTTTCTCAAGCACATGAGCAAAACACGGCTTTAGTGCATATTACTGGTTAGTTTAAGAGATTTTTTTTTGTTTCTTTGCCAACTGGAGATGATCTCTACTTGTAGATGTGGCAAATTCTTGGAACAAACTTGAATATACCTCATTATTTCCTGTTCAAGTTTCTCATGGAAACCTTCACGATGCCCTTGAAGCTCATCAATTTCTTAATGATTCCGGGAAAGAGGTAATTTCGAATTGTTTTCTAAACATTGTTATCATTATATTCGGCACGTTTACTGTTATAAGTACTTAGGGTTAGTGCAATCTATTATTCCAGCCTTGGTTTGAATCTTTGCCTGCGGTCCTAATTTTCTCATTGGGTCGCTACTTTTTCAACGGTTCGAAAGGTGAAACAGAGAAATTGAATATGAGGTTTCACTTTCCTCGCACAATCTTTATGGATCGTTACATGGCGAGGTTACAATTTTTCTCTTACATAGTATTTTTTTTTCGTACCTCACTATTTTACCACTTGTTTCTATTTGCTACTTTAACCTTTTGTCATGGTTTTCCACTTTTCTTTATATTCCAATTTCATTCGCCTTCTTTGTAGCAATTATGAAAGCATCAGCGCTATTCGAGAGAAGAGGAACATCCTACGTAGTGAGCTGGCCAGTGTGCGTGCTGAGTTGAAAGGGTATAGTTTGCTGGTATACGCACTGACATCGAATAAGAAAAAAAAGTTAGTTTTAGACTCAATGAGTTCCCCATTGGTGATCGCACTGATAAAATTGTCAATATTTTAAAAGCTACGCTTCAATTTGCGAAAGGACAACACTCGGAAAGGTGAAGTTCTTTTTTTAATTTTATTACCGGATGGAGTAGACAACTACATTTAAATGGTCTCATTTTTAAAGTGAAATTATGGATGAGGAAACGACGGTGATACCTTTGGGGTGGACAGTAGCTCCTGGCAAAATGCAGTCGTTTGTGGAAGATAGACCTCCTGGTTAGGTATCCATTTTCTTATTTTGTATGATTGTAATTATTGCCCAACCAGTTTAGTCACTCCAATTTCATCGAATCTTCAAAATCTTTCGAAATTTCTGGAGGAATTGGAGAATTCTGTTGTAGAGCTTTCGGAAAGACACAATCGTGAGTTTGCTTGGATCGTTACTGTGGGAACGATGTGATTTTAATACTTATTTATGATGAGAAGAGCAATCTCCTTTGCATGGCTTGTGTATATTTTCTTTTATGGTCTTTCTTCAGAGTTATGTGCCCGTGAAGCAGAATTGGTCAAAATGATCGACGAGATCTACGAGCGACATGATTTGAAACGGCATAGATATCAGCTTCATGCAGTGGCTATCCACCAAGGCCATGCCAACGCTGGCCATTATTGGGCTTACGTCAGAAAAGGTTGTATTTTCTCGAGCTAACTTCTCATTGGCGCTCTTTATCGGTATCCAATCGTAAGAAGGTTGTCTCCTTAGGAAATGATGATACGCAATGGGAGAAGTTTAACGACCAAAGAGTTGAGTGTGCCACATGGAGTGATATTGAGACGGAAGCTATCGGAGGAACTCGAACCACTTCTGCTTATTTCCTGCTGTATGTCAGCTCTGCTGCAGAGCCATGGCTTTTTTCGAGCGAGTTGCTTTTTCACTTGTTCCTTCACTTTAGGTCTCCTTTTATTAGAGAGAAATGTTTTCTAGGTGATACTCCAGCATCCTTCTTCCTAAATGATGACATCCGAAAGCAAGTGGAAAACGAGAACGCACATCTGGAATCGGAAGTGGAGCGTTATCGGTGCACTCAGAATGAGGATGGAAAGGGCAACGAAGAAATGTACGATGCGCCTAGTGATGATCGAGGTAATGAGCTGTCTCCACCTTCACTGCCGCTCACTGAAACGGATCTATTGACTGGCACTGCTGTAGAAAAGGTATTTTGTACTATTATGAAACCTATATTTTTAAGTCTGTGTTCCCATTGGTAATTTTTCCATTAATTCGATAAACATGTAGAATAGTAATAAATGTATTAGTTTTTATACCCTAAATATCTGTCGGAATTCCAAATCACCTGAGGTTATTTCCACTGAGACTACGCCATGGATTAGTATTTACGAGCTTAACCTATTCCCAGGCAGTACCTGATCCGGAAAATCTCGCAGTATGCTTGAAATTCTACTGTGATCCATGGTTCGACGAGTCTGCTTTTGAGATCGAAAAACGAAAAGTAAGGAATACATTCTCTCTGACTATGTTCCAAACTTTATCATTAGAAATTACAATGTTCAATTCGTTTCTTTCAAGTTGTACTCTCTTCTTGAATTCAACAAGACAACCTATCCACCCACAATTACTCATGAGGTTGTAATCGATAATCAAGCAAAGCTCATGTATCGCAATGTCCTCAAGCCAATGTTAGTTGCGTGAGTGATTCTTTAATTCATTTTTGGTGTTTTCTTGCTTACATCCTGATAATTTCCTACCTTGTAACGTTCTTTGCGTCTTTTTTCATGTTATTTGCATATCTTACAGGCTAATCCGAAGGTCAGAAGCAGCTGGAAATCTTGTTAAACCGTCTGAAATTTATAATAAGGTAACAATACTGTTTATTTATGACTTCATGTGGTTTATTATGTTGACTTATTGGTTTTGTTTTTAAGGTTATTAGTAGTTTTTATGATGAGTTCGAAAGTATGGCATGTGTTGGTCGGAGTCGGCCGCTACGTTGTTTATTGGACTTCTGTTATACGATGGCTTTTCGTATTCCTGCAAAGACGATTCGTTTTTCCATTGTAAGAGCGCTGCTGCATACGGACTCTGAGTAGGTTCTTAGTTGTAGAAAATTTTCATGACAGTTTTTCTTGACCTGAAACTTGCTCTTCTTTCATAATTTTTAAACATTTTAGGGCTTAATTTCATGTCGTACTTAGTTACCTGGATGGCCCGTCTTCACTGATTGTGCAGGCCCTAGCATAATTTCCATCTTTTCGGAGTTTTCCTGGTTTTGCAATTGTGATTTCCCGGAGTCCCGAGATCAGCCTAACCAAAGTATGCAATAGTTCTTCAGCACCACAGGCAGTCACCGGACTTGTGGATCAGAGGGAGATTTGCCATCATGCGACTAGTTTGATACAAGGACAGTGATGGATTCTGGCATTGATTTACTCTTAGTTGCACTCTCTAATGGAAACTCCAGATTTTTTCTCACCTTAGGAGACTGCCGGGAGATGAATCCCCTCGCTGTCCATCGCGGCCCGACACCCAGGAACACCTCCCACCCACGATGAGGCAGTAAACTGTTTGAAGGATTTCTTGCTATAGACTGCTTAAAATCGCTTTCGTTTCTGCCTTGTTATCACATATTTGGTGTCCGCGATAGTCGGACCATTTCATAGAGTCTACCTTATTGTTATAGTAAATTGTAGCAGATTTTTAAAACTTTTCCCACCGGATTCACTTTGTTGAAATATAGAAAGTCTTTTCTTAAGTTTGGTTCTCGCTTAGCATTGAATAAGTAAGGTTAACTCATCGTATTAATAAACAGTGTTGAAGATTTCGTATCTTGTTGTCGTTCTACTAAATTAGTATTTATAGGGAAATAGTGAAATATGCCCGCGTAGAATTAGACGAGTTCACTTCTACACGTTTCGCCGACCACTACATTGTTATTTTCCAGGTGAACATCATCCCTTTGTATTTAATGAGTGAATTTTTTTTTGAAGATATAGTATTTCGGTGTTTCAGCGCGCTTCACATTTATATGACTTACTGAAGACTCTTTGGAGCGTTATACGTCAAGTTGTTACAGATATGAACCTCAACAATGCTGCTCATATGCCACGATTGTAGGTCTATTTCGATGCATGGACCTTTACTATGTTCTCCTTAACACATTCGCGGTTACACCTAATTTTCCCTGCCAACAGTGGTATACACCGAACTCAGTGCATTCGGTCCTCCGTTCCTCTGATTGGCCATCCCTATTAACATGCTTTTTCGCGCTATATTTTAGTTTTTCCTTCTACCCTTCTTCTCTCTCTCTTTTCCGTTTTTTCCACTTATTTTTTTATTCCAAGTCCTTATTTTCTTCTATCTACCATTCCATATTTTGGAATATTTTCAGTTTTTATTTGTTAAGAAAAAAAAGTGTGGTATGCTGTCCAACTACGTCGTTGTCACCACTTGGTAGTTCTTTTCTCAGCATATGTTGGCTGTACTTCTCCGTCTATATATATCTTATATTTGCACTCATTTATGAGTACTCTGGAAAATGCCACCAAAATACATTGTGTGAATGCTTATTGATCAATGCAAAGATTATTGGCTTGCTTAGTGCCCTGGTAATCAGCAGGAGTCTTAATGGTAGAAGAAATGTTTTAGTGCTTTTGCTAGCACCACTGGCTTTTGCTGGCCTAGGTTTATGCTATTTGTAGTGGGCATACCTTGAATACGAAAAATGTGCTGAAAGTCAGTGTGGTTTTAAACAAATACCCGAATGGAGAATCCACAAATCATACGCACAAACGCGAATATTTGAAGAAATGTAGTGCGTTCAACATCACCCGTGTTTTATCCTTAATGGTTTCGTTTTTTATTCCTAGATTATTCACCCAACCGTGAACATGTTTTTAAATTGAATGGATAACTCTTCATACTCTTCTTAAGCAAACACGAGATGTCATTTTATTAATTTTTACGATGAAGTTGACGTTTTGGTGGATTATGCTTCTTTTATAAGCTGGAAAGGTCAAGTTGACTGCAATCTATCCAGCCAAACACCTCTATAAGCAAGCAGGAAAAGGGCAAACCAAAATTCTAATCGCTTTGGAAACAAAATAACTTTTTCGTACCGTCATCTTTTTCCTTGACTCTTCCTTCCACTGAGTATGTCACGTGGAGACCAGTCGCACAGAGTTCAAATGGAAGCATAATGTGCCTCTCACATTAAAATAGCAGTCTTAAATACTGTTCAATATCACGAGGCATTATGAGGCATCCCCTCCCTGTGGTTCATTTTCGGATTCATGGAAATCATCCAGAATGCTTCGAGAGTTTTGTGCGCTGGTGTTTTCGATTACTTTGCTAGAATCGTAGCTTTTATTTCAGAATCTTCCACGTTGTGTTCCTGTGTCCTATGCGCGACTAGTGGACTATTTGGTTTAAGTTTAAGTTCGCCGAATAAGTGTTCTTTTGTACGGACACAGAGTGGTCTATCCATTCGCCAATGTTCTCGTTCCCCACGCTTTACATGAGATCAGATAAGATCAGATAATGGGTAGGCCATACCACATTCGTAGCATTCTGCATGGACTTCAACACATAGTTTGGGATCGCGGCATACTCATTGGTTTTTATGCATTTTCTTTCTCGCTGTACCCTTTATCGTACAATTCTTTTGATGTACTTTTGGTATTGAATCGATCGTATCTGTTGGGGATTAGGCCGGGGGAAATGGGGGGATTGATTAAAACGGACCGTATACGTTGGGTTAAATGCAAGCAGAGACGTATTTTTGAATGTATTAATATGTTGTGTAAGCATCATTTTCAGAGAAACTTACCAAGTAATCTAGTTTGATTTTTGAGTTGTAGGTCTTGGAAGGCGATTGAATCAAATGTGAAGATGTTGAGCATGGTGAGGGCAGTGACGAAGATATACGACAAAGTTTATGCAGAAATTGGTAATTTCCAAGTGAGTTTTGGCGTTTTTCCAAACAATAGTGATCACATGTTCACCACATCTTTAAATTTTATTTTTTATTTATGTTTCTCGATTACTCATCTTTTCTTCAATATCGTCCAGGGAACGGCGTATCAGGCACATGCAGATTTTGTTATACCAAGTTTCATCATGCGGGGAATCAACATAATTCCTGTTTTGGTAAGTTTTGGTCTTGATGTGCATAAAATCTGTTTAGCATTATTGTTGGTATTACTATTAATTGCTATTATTCCATACAGTTATTATTTCATAGCGAGAAGCGCATTTTCAGTGACCCCGTTAATTACACGGGTGACCTAATCTACCTAGACCCTGGTTCGACCCCGCTCCGGGCCCACCAAGCTCCTGATCTTTCCGAGGTCGGTAAATTGGAACACAGTTGTCTGTGGCAAGCTCACTCCTGCTATTCCAAGTAAGGATGCCCTAATACGGCTCTGTGAGAGTTTGAGGTAGGATCGCCTCAACCAGCATTCGGTGACAATTACGAAGAATGCAAAAAAATCCCGAGCCAACAGCCGAAACCGCTCGAAAAAAAAAGGTCAAAAAGCTTTGTGGATGATCATTGCGAGGAAATGAATCGTGTCCGTCTGATGTGGTACATGTAATGTAATGTAGTAGTTTTTATTTTCAGTGATACTACTATTTTTTTTATTATTTTTTTCTGCACTGAATGTGGGCTCGACTGCTGCTTGAGGATTTTCAGAGCGAGTCCATTCTTCCTGTAATCCGGGGATACTTGGAATAGGGCGTTCCCACGCGGATTGGAAGTAGTGAGTCGACGTCGGAAGTATGGGAGCTTTGGTGGGGTCCTGGGCGGGGTTGAACTAGCGTAATTATTGTCATTACTGTCGTTACTGTTGTTGCTAATATAATTATTCCTGTTATTATTATTGTTATTATTACTACCAAATTATACTAGGTTGTTACTATTATTATAATTATTGCCGTTACTATTACTATTGTTGTTGTTGTTATTGCTGTTGTAAACTCAGTCTAAAAGTGGGAAATTAATTGTGAACTATATTTTCTGTGTTTACTTTTTCAGACCATTTTCGCATCTGTTGTGCAGTTTTTGGTAGATCGTGTTGCTCCACGAGATGATACTGTACGGTTAATGACAGAATCCTTGACGTGGATTGAGTTGGCAATCCATCGATTAGCAATATGGGCTAGAACCGGTAGCAAAGACGCCGAAAAGGTTTGCAATCATGATCCATAACAATACAAAACATCTATGTGGAATCGTCCAGAAAAGAGTTCTTCA